GAAAGAAAGAAAGAAAAAGAGATGGCTAATCACAAACAACCCAAGGGCACAATGACCTCGCTCTGTTCCACAAGTAGCCCCCTCCAGTATAACCCTATAAAACTACCCTCAGCCCCTGCCTCTTTGAAAACAGCCCCTTCTCTGCTGTGCTGCCCATTGCATTCTAGCAATATATTGTCATACCTTCTCTAATAAATCTGCCTTTCTTTACCTATGGCTCTCATGGAAATACCTTTACTGCCTGTGGCACGTGTTCTAGCTAGTAGCTACCTGTGACATTCAATAAAATGCTTTATTAATATTTGTTGAGCTGTAGAGATCTGTATGTATATTTATAATATGGATAGATCATCAATCCTTCTTCCAATTCTTTTAGACCAAAATATCTGAAAATGAAGTTTTCCTAAGTCATTTGGCAGCAAGACCTAAATTAAATCCATTTGGTGACAATATTTAACCTGATCTGCCACAAAGGTATGTTGGGTATGTCTTCCCACTAGTGCAAATATTTATGTAACTCAAAATGTGAATTTTGATCAAATGTTAGTTTGATCATGGAGAGCTGATCCAGATTGGGGGTGTTACATCCAAGGTAAATCTATGCTATTTGCAATGGACCAAATGTTTTTGCCTCCCCTAAATTCATGTATTGAAACCCTAAATCCAATATGATTGTATTTGAGGTGGGGCCTTTGGGAGGTAATCAGATTACAAGGTTGGAGCCCTCATGAATGGGATAAGTGTCCTTGAAAGAAAAGGCCAGCTAGCTAGCTCTTTCCATCATGTGAGGTCACCGCAAGAAACCAGCCATCTATAGACCAGAACTTGACCCTGCTGGCACCCTGATCTCAGACTGCCAACCTCGAGAATTGTGAGAAGCAAATGTATGTTGTTTAAGCACCCAGTTTATGTTACTTTGTTACAGCAGCCTGAGCTAGACATTACCTTTCTAAAATGAAAACATTTTAAAACTCTGAAACACATTTGTTCCCACAGGTTTGAATTAGAAATAGTGACCTAGATTATTCTCATCTTTTCTGTTGGTGAAATTCTCCAGGGTATTTTGTCCACTGAACCAGCTTGAAAGCTGTTATTCTATTCCTTATAGTGATGTCTTTCTTACCTTCCCAGGCTGACATGGAACATCATTATTCTTCCTGCTGTCTATTATCAGTGAATTATGTCACTTTTCCATGTCCTTCTTAGTTATCTTGCTCTATTAGAAAAGAAGCCCTTATACTTAGATGTCACATTTTTGTAAGCCTTGCCTCATGTTTTTCTCTTTCTTTCAGCTTTTCTTATCATAGTCACACTTGGTTATACTGAAACGGGATAGTTCCCTTGACCTCTTTATAGGACTCGTGAAGGGGTTGGCTCATTTACTTAGCCCACAGCTCTCAACTCTTCACTGGAAGGGGAGCACACAGGTGAGCAGGTGGAGAGGCCAGGATGAGCACTTCTGGGCAACTAGTAGGAGCAGAACTCCATGCAGGCCCACAGCAGCATCTAGGGTTGCCCAAGACCCCTGGAGCCCCAGAAGGTGTGTATTACAGTGTACTCCTTTAGTTTTGCCATCTGTGGATGGCTTAAGTGTTAGATGGCTTGGTGGAGGGTCAGTGTGACAGCCTCTTATACCCACACCCAGGTTCTCGTCTGGCATCCAGGAGGAATCAGGTCACGCCAACTAATTGAAGATGGTAAATGTGGAGGAATTTATTGCCAATGAAAGTGGCTCTCAATGGGATGGCAAGGGGATGGAATGGGAAGGTAGTCTTCCCCTGGAGTTTGGCCATCCCCAGCCAAATTCTTCTCCAAGGTCCCCTGTCAAGCCGTCCCTCTGAGGTCAAACTGTTTCTCTCCAACGTCTGACTGCTTCTTCTCTTCTCTCCCTGCCACTCCACCATTCTGCCAATGGAACCTGGGATTTTTATGCGTATAGGGTGGGGGTGGGGTGGGACAGGGTGGTTTTAGAAAAGGCAACGTTCAGGCAGGAAACCAGGAATGTATGTTCTCAGATTGGGTAGCAGGTCCAGGCTGGAGGCTGGGGATCCGCCAGGGATCTTACCCTTTTCTTCCTAGTATTTCCCTAGTATTGCCTCCTGTCCATATCAATGTCACTCTTCTGTGTTCCTGCATAAAACCTCCCACTCCTGGACAAGTTCTGTTTGTATCTGAGCTAGTATAGAAATGTGGGCCTCTGAGGAGGATGTTGGCTTCCCATTTCCTCCTCATTGGATACTTTGTGATTTATTGCCAGAATTGTGAAAACAGCCAGATTAAAAAAAAAAAAAAATGCTCTGGCGTGATTTTTGCTGTGTCCTGTAGGTCTCTCTTTAGGGATATGTGATACAACATCAAAGGGAGACTTCATCAGCTTTTCTCTCTCACCCTCTATCTGCCCACCAAAAAAAGAAGTAAGATATTGAAACACATTGTATTAAACTAGGTTTTAAGCCTGTTTGGGAGTGACAGACCCTTTCATTAAATTGATGAAAGACTCCAAAAAGATAAGATTTTCGGAAAAAACTTCTACAAAAATAAGAAGAAATTGAAATTTCTGCAAATAATTTCAGGTTTCTCAGATACTCTCTGCTAAGCCCAGATTAAGAACTTCCATTATAGACCAGTGGTTCTCAAAGAGGCCCTTGTAACACTGAGAGAAATCTAACGTAACTGACTCCATCTTGATTCTAACCTCACAAGCTGACTACCTTTGCTCATCCCTGCATGTAGGCGAAGCTAACTATGGCAGGAATTTATAGTTCAAAGCAAGGATGATAATAGTTCCTTTCCAACACTAAGCTCCCGAGGAGGTAAGGAGGGTGCATGCACAAGTAACAATGTTATGCCAAGATTTATAGGAACACTGTCACCTGACCAAAGATAAATAAGTTTCACAACCTCCTTGAACTCCTGCTGATGCTCGGTGTCTGTGGTCATCAGTCACCTCCTGACTTTAATATCCCCTCGTTCCCTCTTCCTCAGCATAAAAAGAAGCTTGAGATGTATGCCTTTAAGACGGCTCTTTAAGACATTAGTCTATCTTCTTGGCTTGCTGGCTCTCCAAACTAATAAGTAAATTAAGTCTCCTAAAAAAGTCTCTTTCCTTGCTCCAACACCTTGTCTCTTGACTAACTGGCTTTGTGCAGTGAGCAATACCAGCTTTGGACAGGACTACATCCTGAGAGGCTCATCAGATCCTTGGGCAGTAATGTTCAAATTCTACACTATACTCCCCTCCCACGCTGAAACACAGGCCTTGCACCATCATCTGAGAAACCTTTTGAATAATGAGAAATGGATTTGACATGTGTTCTCAGTCTCATGTTACTCAAGGAAAATAATTCCCCTGGGTGGGCTACCCCTTTCATCTGAAATCTTTTTTCTATAAGAGAGTTACCATGGAAGAGAGGGTAATTGTCTGAGATAAATACCTATCAGGATTAATCTTGTCCTGGATTCAGACCTTTGTACTTAAGCTTCCTGGTCACTTGTGTCTTTAATTTCCTCCCTGTCCATTATTAAAGACTATTTAAAACTAAGATCTTCTCATATTTACTTTGGATTTTTTTCTATGTGCTCTACGGAGAAAAGCAACGAAGCAAGAGACTGGCTTCTGTCCACTCCTTACCTGAAAGAAATTTAAAATTCCTAGGGTACCCATGGATTTTAGGTTAATTCAGTTGATTAGCCCAGAATACAACCAATAAGGATCCCATAAGGATCCATGACTACAGCCCAAGACTGCGCCCCTCGCCGCAGCTAGCCATCATCTCAATCATAAGCCATCGTCTCAAACATGAAGACAGGGAAGGCTAGAGAGTAACTGGGAGCCTCATACCTGCCAAACCCCATGAGCAGAAAAACTCAGGATGGTGGCTCAGGAATTACATCTTCATATGTTGAGAGAAAGCCAACAGGAGATATAAAAATCTGATGACTTCTACCCTGGAAAAGAAATTGAAATTTGGTCAATGACCAGTTGTCGCTATGAAGCTCACTGCCCTTGATGCCTCTGAGTTCTACAGGCTCTTTCTGGACAAAATGTCCTCATGTTGCCCCCTCCTAACTCCTACCCTTCCCTGACAACGTTTCTCATCATTGCTTCTGTCGCCGGGTAAACTCCTGCTTGTTTTTCAACACATACCTCAAGAGGCAGTTTCTCTGTGAAACCTGCCCTCCCCTGGCAGAATTATACCCACCTTGTTCCTATAGTCATGTGAGTGCTAGAGCATTTAAACATGATATTATATTAGTGGCTATTTGTTTGCATTTCTTGGTCCACCCTCCTCACTAGATTATGAAGTTCTTGAGATTAGGGACTGTGTTTTATCCATGCCACATAACACCTAAAACAGTTCTGCCTGTGGCGCTAGCATTTGGTCATGGTGAAGCTTTATAACTGCAAATGCAGATATTAGGCTGGTGCAAAAGTAACTGTGGCTTTTCCATTGAAAGTAATGGCAAAAACTGCAATTACTTTTTCACCAAGCTAACATTAATATTTCAGACAGAGATCTCCAAGAATTCATGGATTATGACTTTTAGCTGAATTATGCATATGTTTTAGCATTAGTTGAGGGCTATATTTTTCAGGAAGCTCTCAGTTCTAATCACGAGGAGAGACAGATAAGCAAATTGTGATCATTATGATAGCATAATTAAATGTTAGAACAGAGGCATTTTGGGGGTGATGAAGATAGCTAGAACACTTTTTTCTAAATGTGTATTTAGACAGTCTTTGTCTGAAAACTTATGAGATTTTTTTTCCTGAAAGGCATGTGTGTGTGTGCACAAATGTGTGTGTCCATGTGGACTTGTCCACGCAGCACTCACAAGGAATGGAAGCAGGCCCAGATAAAGCAGGAGGGCAGGTGGGCCTGACCTTCTCTCTTTTCAGGCCACCATGAAGGAAAATGGAGAAGGCTTGACAGAACCCAGCATGAGCTAAACTGGGCCTCCTGCTTCCCTACCCCCAATTCAGGGTGGTATGTATTGTGAGAATGTATTATTGGACTACGAGGATTTTAAAGGACTGAGCTGAGCTGCTGAGGAAAAGTTTTGAAGTGGGTCAAGCAATAAAAGATTTTCTCAGATCCTTTTTTGAACTCAGGGCACTAAATCAATTGCAAATAATTGGCAGTTACTAGGCCCCACAGAGAGTCCAAGACCTATAAAACATACAGTGAAAGCCACCAGATTACAAACGTGGGGAGAAATTAGCTCGCCTAAATACCAGTGGAAGTTTGTACATCTGTAATGTTCTTCAGTGGAAATTCTGGGGACAATAAATCATTTCCTTACATTTTAGTTGAAGAATTATCTTTTACTTGTGTTACTCCTCTTCCATAAATATTACAGAATGGAATTCATGACCATTTCCATACAAATTCGAGATCACTTTTCAAAAATGAATTAACTGATAATCTCTGTCAGAACTGACAGTCTATGAGTCAGTTTAGAGAGTCTCCATACGATTGACTACCTCTAGTAAGCACCAAACTCAGACAAAGAGGTTTACTAAATGTTCACAAATAGTCAGGAGGGATGGCTCTAAACTGATCTAGACCATAGAAAAGAAAATCAGCACACTAAATTGCCCAATTCTATTTATTTGATATAATTATAACTAGGCAAACAACAATGTGCTTCAGCTAGCCTCAATAGGCAATGTGGCCCTGTGGCAAATATTTTAGTTATTTCTGAGCAATGTGATAACTTCGGTTGCTCTGGGACACAGACACACAAACCTGAGCTAACAAGGCTCATGTGAGTGGTGTTCTGGGGTTTTAGGGGGAGATCAGAGACTCGGGGTGAAGAGAGCCACAGTTTCCGTTCTTTGCTGTGTTCGTAGTTGTTATTTTTAAATCGAGTCTCTTTGATCTGATGTATATTAGCATTTCATGCTCCCTCAAATCAATATTCTGTTTCATGTGGGGATTTTGAGTCATTTTTGTACTTTCTGTTTTAAAGTTCCATAAACCCCAATAAATAAGAATTCTGATTGCCTACTTCTGGGGAGGGAAGACTTCTCTTTACTGTGAATATAAATCCTGTTCATTTCTACTGATTGATGCCTGGACTTTAGAACTTGACCATGTAGAGACTTCCTGACCCCTTAAGGCTGAGAGCGTGGCAGACCCTGCCTAATCAATAGTGTTCATAAAGTATTTATTTGTCTCATGGAACAAAACACCTCTTTTAAGAAGAACTTTATATCCTTATCTATATGTATTCTCAGCACATTTTCCCTGAGTTGGACATTTTCTCTTAAAAATTCCTGTTTAAGTTTACCTGAAAGAACTCCCTTTAGACTCCCAATTCCCTGGACTAAATCTGTTTTTTGATAATAATGTTTCCATTAAGAATTTGGTACCCATAATCTGTTCAAAGAGCATTATGATTTTTTTCCCAAAGTTCTATTAGAAAATATACTTTGAGAGCTTCTTGACTAATTTTTCAAAAAGTAAAACTAAGAGGACAGATACTAAGTGAAGCATTCCTTCCCAAATAGGTATCAAAAGTATAAAGTTAATGCATTTCTGAGTTCTAGGTCTCACCAGGCTCTGACTACAAAATAAGGACTTTATGGGACAAGTTCCACTGGCTTAATGCCAGAAATTGGTGCTTCTGCAAAGCATCCCACCTTCTGAATTCCTCAGAGGGCTGTCCCAGATATTTTCAGGTAGTGACCTGCTGCGTCTCCACCAGGAGGCATTAAAGCACGGTGGCTGAGGGCTTGGGCATTGAAGTCAGACAAATGGGGTTTAAATCCCACCTCTTTCACTTCTTAACTTTATAACCGCATTATGTTTCAGTTTACCTATCTTTAAACTGATACAATAACATCATACACACACACGCGCACACACACACACACACGTATATATGTTAATAGGAGAATACACGTACAGTGTTTTATCATTGTCTCAGCACATAGCACCACTTCTGTCAAATGGGAGGCTTGTGGCTGCAAGAAACACAAAACCCAACTGGGGATGGCTTAAACATGATGAGGATGGATTCTTTCATTTAACAAGGAGTCTCAAGGTGGAGTGGCTCCAGGACAGTTTCATTCAGTGACTCAGCAATGTCATAGGCACTTCTTTTCCCACGCTGCATCTCCACCATGACAGAGTTTCTCACATAGGCTTCTATGTGAGAGATTTACACATATCATTCAGATAAGAAATTGTCCAGAAGGAGAAAACAGTCCATCTTTTACTACAGCTTGCTTTATAAGGTGAAGAAATTTTTCTCCAAAACACCCTTCTCCACAGAACTCTCTGTTTCTCATTGGCTAGAATTGCACCACAAATCCATGCCTAAGATAGTTACTGGCAAGGAGACTAGATTTGCAGTGATTGACATAAATTAACCAAGATTTACATCAATCTAGGAATAAGATCACTTCCCCCAGGAATATGTACCCTCCGATGTTGGGAGAAAAAGCAACACAGGAGACTGGTATCTGAATCCCACCTAGAAAATTTACGTTGAGAGACAGGCTTGCTTACTACTCTGATGGCATGGACAAAGGGTTTGCTATCATGTTGGGATTAGACAGCATTGCCAGAGTTAGTGGGCCAAGAATGCATGTTTTCTGGAGACAAAATATAAACCACACATGAGAGCCATTTGGCAGTGGCTAAATTGGTGCTCTCCAATAGGATTGCATGAAGAAGGAATAAGGACTCAGCAGAAAGAAGCTAGAGATATTACTGGATCCTTGGAGCTGAGTAAAGAATATCTGATAAGCCAGAGACTGGTGTTTCGTCCATATCAAGGGAACATAGGTGAGAAAACCTGAGCAAGAGATTTCACGAGAAAACCCTCAAGAGTATCCATGAAGGAAAAATTCATTTTTACATGTCTGCTAGACCCAGAGAGCCTGAAGCCATCGTATGACAACAGAAGTCAAATTAGAATTCTCTTGCTTCCTTTACTTCCCTTTTCTGCTACTCCAGTCCTGGAGGTGTCTGAAACCTCAATTAGCAAGCGAGAAGAGAAACAGTGGACAAAGAAGAAAGAAGATGTCAGCCACACTCACCCAGGTGTCGAATCTGCCTCAGGTCTTAACCTGTGAACAGCATGTGGCTCTAAATCATTATGAAATGGAAAGTTTAGTTTTTATCTGGGACTGCACATTCTTTTTTACCCCCTTAAGACGTTTCGCTCTTTTGCCTAGGCTGGAGTGAATTGGTGTGATCTCAGCTCACTGCAACCTCTGCCCTCTGCGTTCAAGCGATTTTCCTGCCTCAGCCTCCCAAGTAGTTGGAATTATAGGCACCTGCCACCACACCTGGCTAATTTGTTCATATTTTTAGTAGGGGTTTCACCATGTTGGCCAGGCTGGTCTCGAACTCCTGACCTCTGGTGATCCACCCGCCTAGGCCTCCCAAAGTATTAGGATTATAGGAGTGAGCCACTGTGCCTGGCCTGGGACTGCATATTCTAAAAGGTAATTTGAGACTGCTGCATAACTTACAGTGCCCAGAGTAATAATGAGGTCCACTTAATTTTTTCTCTAGAAGCAAGGGCAGAACGATTAAAAGTAATTGCAGTTTTTGCCATTACTTTCAATGTATACATATATGCATATTATATATACATTACTCTATATTATTAAATCTATAGTAATTAATTATATATACTATTACTTTTATTGCAAAAACACAATTCAGTTTGCACCAACCTAATATACCACATACATAATTATCTAGTAATTATATACTATGTATATTTACATATTACAATGTATACTATACATACATATTACATATATGTGTATACATACTATAAAATATACATATTACATATATGTATATATAACATATAATTAAATACATACTATATATTTACCTATTACTATATATATTACATATATGTATACACTATAAAATATATACTATACATATTACATATATTTGTATACATATTACTATATATAATTAAAGATTTATGTAGAAATATATAGCATACATAAATATATACTATATATTTAATTACATATGCATATATACTATAATTATACTATATAATTACACATATACTATACATAAACATAAATTATAAATTATATATATTTAATTATATACCAATATATAATTAAATGTATAATTAAATCTATATTAATATATTTTGCATTAATATTAAAATTAATTATATAGTATAAAATTATATAAAATAATTACAGATTATATAATATTAAATATATATGTATAGTTATGGATAACTAAGAACAACAGATAGATGTAAAAACTATGTATTTAATATATGTAATAACTGTATATACATGTATATATATGTATATTCATATAAACAGGCAATTAAGTGCAATAATTAAAACAGCATTGGCTAAGAAAAAGATACAAAGATCAATGAAACAGAAAAGGAAATCTTGAAACCGGAGACATAAAAATAGGAACAATCAACATAGGAAGTGGATGAATAGAGAGTAGAGGTTCTGGAATTGAACCTTGAGGCAGTCCAATATTGAAAAGAGATGAGAATAAGGGACCAAAAAGGAGTCACCATTGTTGTAGACGGGAAACTGCAGTGTCCTGGAAGCCAAGTGAAGAAGGTGCTGCAGCAAGGGGATGATCAGCTGAGTTACGCACTGCTGATGGGCCGAGTAAGATGAGAACTAAGAACTCTTACTGGTTTTAGTAACATGAGATCATTGATGCTCTTGACAAGGGCAGTTTCAGTAGAGTGGTGAGATCAATGTCCTGACTGGGGTGAGTTCAAGAAAAAATGGTAATAATCGATGACGGTAAGGGCAGCCATCTCTTTTGATGAGTTTTGCTATAAAATGGAGCAGAGAAATAGGCAGTAACTGGAGGGGAAAATGGGGTCAAAATGGTTCATACTGGTTAACAGCATATTAGTATGCTGATGGGATAGACCTATTTGGATGGGAAAAAAAATGGTGCAGGAGAGAACAAAATGAAGCAGTGCCCTCGGAGAGACGTCAAATGAAGAATGAAATTAAGGACTAAACACTGACATTTTTTTCCTACCTTGCCCAAATTCCTACCTAAGGGGCCTCAGGGGTCACATTCTGCAAGCCATAAAGTCTCATCAGAGGGGTTTTATTTAACCCCGTATTAGGTGGCCTGCTTTCTAACCTGGCTCTGGCACAACATCACATAACAAATAAGGAAATAAGTAAAAATGTATTCACCCCAAATATTTTTTTTGTCGTATCTTTTTTCTTTCTTTGAGATGGAGTCTCACTCTGTCGGCCAGACTGGAGTGCAGTGGGTGCAATCTCGGCGTACTGCAACCTCCGCCTCCAGGTTCAAGTAATTCTCCTGTCTCGGTCTCCTGAGTAGCTGGCACTACAGGCACGTACCGCCATGCCCAGCTAATCTTTTACATACTTAGTAGAGACTGGGTTTCACCACGTTGGCCAGAATGGTCTCAATCTTCTGACCTCGTGATTCACCTGCCTTGGCCTCCTAAAGTGCTGGGATTACAGGTGTGAGCCACCACACCCAGCCTTCTTGTCATATCTTGAAATTGCCCTGCAAAGTGGTCTCTTGTGGGAAAAATCTACATTCTGTAGAGAATCCTCTTTTTACTTTTTTATTTAGTTTTTATTTCCAGATCCAGGAGATAATCAACTAAAAGTCAGCCACCCTTTTGGGTTCAATAAGAAAACATTTTACAAGCCTACTCTTTCTGAAGCCTGCTAGCTAAAATCTTCCTCTGTACAATAAAACTTTGGTCTTTACAATTCTTTATCTTAACTCAAACGTTTCCTTTCTATTGATCTCAGGTCCTTAGACAAACTCAACCAATTGTCAATCAGAAAATTTTAAATTTATCTGTGGCCTGGAAGCACCTGCTTCAAGTTGTCCTGCTTTTCTAAACCAATGTTAGATGTATTTGATTAATGTCTCATGTCTCCAAAAACCATATAAAATCAGGCTGTGCCCTACTCACCTTGAGCAACATGTTCTCAGGACCTCCTGATGGTTGTGTCACTGGCCATGGTAACTCATATTTGGCTCAGAATAAATCTCTTCAAATATTTTACAGAGTTGAACTCTTTTTTGTTGACACCATCTAGTTCACAAATAGAGCATTGGCTTCAAGGAGACAGCTACAGGAGCAAAGGCAGATCATATAAACATAAATTGGTAGGTTGGAGCTTGTGAAAAGATCTTTAATTCTGCATTTTCTCAGAGAAATAGGAAGGTCCTCCGCTGACAGTAGGGATAGGGAGATGTGTGTATTTTAAGGAGAAATTTTGAAATAGTTCAAGAGAATCAATAAAGGCACTAGAAAAAATGTAGTATAACTACCAGCAGCACTAAAGGTCTACCTGTCAAAAAATATGAAACATTTAGTAGCCCAGCCTATATGACTTCAACATAGCAGTAATAAACTCTGATGTAAACAAATATTTAAAATTTTTTTTCAGACGGAGTCTCACTCTGTCGTCTAGCAATCGCAGCTCACTGCAACCTCTGCCTCCTGGGTTCAAGGGATTCGCCCACCTCAGCCTCCTGAGTAGCTGGGACCACAGGTGTACACCGCCGCACTTGGCTAATTTTTCTATTTTTCATAGAGATGGAGTTTCACCATGTTGATCAGGCTGGTCTCGAACTCCTGATCAAATGATCCACCTGCCTCGGCTTTCCAAAATGCTGGGATTACAGTAAATGCAAGCCTCCATGTCCAGCCTGAAAAATTAATTTTTAAAGTATATAGATTAAGTGGAGTGTAATGCAGAAGTCCTAAATACATTTCCAACAGGATATTTTTAAGAATGTGTTAATTATAAATACTCATGAGTTGGGATAAAATTTCAGTGACAACATCAACACATCACTCAGAAAAGCTCTTCTGACTAATTTGGGCAGCTCAGCCACCAAAACTGGGATGATTCAGAGAAAGTACTTGCACAAAGACAATATGCAAAGTCAGGAAGTAAGCCTTTTTTTTTTTTTTTAGACACTAAATAGACAATACAACCAAATGAACCTTGACTGGACCCTGGACCAAAATAAACAAACAAGGGCAACTGGAAAAGTTTGACTACAAATTGTGTATTACATATTATGGAGTTAACTCACTTTCTTACATATCATATGGGTATTATGGTCACGTAAGTGAACGTCCTTACGTCCTTACTTTAGGAAAAAATATGCTACAGTATTTACAGGTAAAGGGTCATAATGTCCCAACTTACTTTCAAATGGCTCAGCAAAAAATGTGTTTCTTTATATATATACACATAATACACACATATGTATCTTTATACATACATGTATAAAGATATGTATAATACAAATATACATATAAAATACATTTACATAAAACTAAAAAGATTAGCAACTGGTGAATCTGGGCAAAACTACATCGTGTTCAACTTATTCATTGATTGGAAAGTTTTTTAAGCAGTTGAAGAAAAGCAGTATTTCTAAGTAGCCCTGTTGTGTGATTTTGAATAGACTTATCCAATTACATTAACAAATGCAAGTTTATATATTCAAACAGAGGACACATCTAAAAATGGAAAAATAAGCAGCAAGGTAACGGAAGCACAATAACTGTAGAGAGAGTCAAAAATGGTTGCTACTGGGAAGCAAGAAATCTTTGGTGAAGAAAGGTAGGTGGTACCGGCGTGCATGTGTGTGTGTGTGTGATGTTACAGATTAGAAACGTTTTCTGTTCTTACCATATAAGCCTTATAAAACTGTCTAATTTCTCAAATTATATGTATGCATAGTTTTTTTTTTTTTTTTTTTTTTTAAATAATCTCACTCTGTCACTGTCACCTAGGCTGGAATGCAGTGGCATGATCCCAGCTCACCACAACCTCTGCCTCCTGGGTTCAAGCAATTCTCCTGCCTCAGCCTCCTGAGTAGCAGAGACCACAGGCATGCGCCACAATGCCTGGCTTTTTTTTTTTTAATTCTTAGTAGAGACGTGGTTTCACCATGTTGGTCAGACTGTCTCCAACTCCTGACCTCAAATGATCTGCCGACCTTGGCTTCCCAAAGTGCTGGGATTATAGGCGTGAGCCACAACTTTAATGTTTTTAAAAATCCAATTAAAAGAATTGTTTTACTTTGCAACCTCTTTCTTACCAATCCCCCAGTTTCTTCTTATTTCATACTGTTTTAATGCTTTACTTAACATTAGAAGAAATAAAATGAAGTTGGTCATCAGGGAACATTAAAAGCCCATCAGATCAATACCTATAAAGTTTTTGCTTCTTAATAGGCACAAATCTAATACAATTTTCACTTCTTGTTTTTT